AGGTGGCGCGGCGGAGCCGGGGCGGGGGAGGCGGAGGTGAGCGGCGCCTATAGAGGTGAGCGGCGCCTATAGAGGTGTACGCGTGTAGGGCCCTAGGGACACGCGAACGCCGCCGGGGGAAGGTCTGCACCCCCAAGGTTGAGGGGTGACAACAAGCACACGCCCCCAAACCCGGTCTCTGGCGGATTCTCACAGCTCGGGTTGACTCGGACACGGTTACAAGACCAGGGCTCGTACCCGAGGGGCCGTACGTTGCACGGCAGCTGCCTCCCGGCTCCCAAGGAGTCGCCTCCTTTCTTCTGTAAAATAAGCACAAACACGTCTGTACAATACTTGCATACACTTCCATGTCTGCCATTTTGAGGCCCTCCTCAGGTTCCCACTGGGCTTTACGGTATTCCGGGATGTTGTCGCTGCAGGGCAGAATGCAAAAGCTGTTAGTCCAAATTTAACAAAATGGGATTGCCCTACTACTATACAGGGACTGAAAGCTGAAGGTGCTGAGCCCAAGGGCATCAGTCCATCACCCCAGCTTCTGAACTGCAGCGTGGTGAAGACTGGAACCCCACAGGAAGGAATCAGGCCCAGATCTGCTTCACAGTTCCCCACGGAAAACTACTCAGGAACAGACACATGTCTTCACGCTCCAGACTGAACTGACAAGCAAGAAGGCACTAGCTGGAAACCGAAAGCTCCTGCTCAAACTTTGGGCAAGAGGGAAGCAAAAATGTGGGCTGCAACAGTTTCCATACCCCTCTACCCCAGGCAGCCAGGACATCACCACAGGACATCCGCAGGCTGCCCTAGTAACTTGGCTAGTGGGAGCATGAATCATCCTGATGGGGCACAGAGCTGGGAAGATAGGAGGGATGTACACAGCACCCTCAGAAAACTTGGATAAAGGGTCTAAACGTGCATCTGGGTCTAATCCCAGCTGTTGCACCCTGAACATGTCACAACTCTTCATTTACCAGTAGTGAATAATATTTGCATAATTCATAGGAGTAATATGATAAAATAAATATATACAGGACATGGTATAATCATAGCGATACCTACATAAACATGAAATAATTTTAAAATACATCCTTGCAGAGATTGATATTTGAAAACAAACCCCTGTAATCCTAAAAAAATGCTCAAAGGTGGGTAGCCTTTGAATGTGGACATCATTGAACACTTTCCTTCTCCCCTTTTCCATCACCTTCAACACAGATGTACCTCACAAAATAGTACAAACTCCGCAACATCTCAATAAAAACAGGGATGACAGGAGGAAGGAATGTTATAACATGATTTATTAAAATCAGTTTATAAAACGCTAGGACCAGTTCACAAAGAAGAATGGAGGTCTCATCCAACACTTTGAAGATGGAAACAGGGCTCCCTGGTCAAGGTCCAAAGCCTCAAGATGATCTTTTTTGGAGGTAACAAGATGTACGTGGCAGTCAGATCTAACGATTTGGATCCTCTCTGGAGCCCTGTTTTCCTTTTTGTCTTTTAACATTCTTCTGAGCCCATTAACACACCAGTAACTCTGTGTGCCTACCACAAAGTAGTTTTTGCCTGCATTGCTGGAAGCACGTAATTTTCATCCTAGACTCTGGTAATACTTTCACAAATATTTGCTTCACTTCAACTAAAAAAAATCCCAAAATACAGCGAGAGGAAATATTTTGATCACAAAATAAAACAAATTAGCAAACCAAGGCTAGGATCCCATAAAACATGAATTAGAATAGGAAAAAAACAATGGGTGGATATACTTATAGGTAATCTCCCTTAGGTGGCAAAAATCTTTGGATCCAGAAACACTGACAAAACACTGCAAATAAAGTCACATCCTCCCCCTCCCTGACCCCAGGAAACAAACCAACCCCAGCACCCCAAAATTTGCTACAATCAGCACATCTTAGGCACGGGATCTGGAGATAATTACCAGAAGGGATGCCGGCAGGCACCAGGGTCCATTCAGAGAACATGCATTTGCCACTTCGTCCTGAATTTCAGAAGTCTCTCTTCTAGAGCAGTCTCTTGTAAACAATTGCATGTCCAGTTGCACGCCCTAGAGGCTGTGGATCCAAGAGGAACAGCAATATTCTCTGCAGGATACTTTCAACTAATTAAATCCTTATTAAAATCCTTCACATAAAGTACTGTTTCAATTAAAAACATTACAAGAGAGGGATCTGACAGTGGCAAGACACGACATAATGGTTACAGTTTAGAAAACTTACATGTTACCAAATGAGAATCCATGACAAACTCAAATCTTCACAGAATACTACATGAAGACTATGAAAATGGAAATGTGTGGATGCTTTTTCCTGTAACAGGAATAACTCTACTATTTAGGTGATATTCTGTAACTATAGGAGGTAAGTTTGGAAATATTGACTATTACCAATTCTAACATGAAATGCCGTCCAGATGCATCCATAATAGAACTGCACCTGTGCTACTCATATAAAGAACAGTGACATTTTTCTCCTTTCTCAGTACTCATGTTTGAACTACTAAAACACTCCTAGCAGAACACTTGGCATTTTTTTCTATTCCCAAGTTTAAAACCGTAGCAGAAGTCACTCTTGTAGATGGCTGTTAAAGCCTCAGTGCATTAGTATGCTGAGACTGCCTCCTGTTCTCTCCTCTTGTCTGCTACAGTTAAAGCCAAAACAAAAACCCGTAACATTTCTAGTATTACTGTACCTTCCCTAGCAATATGTAACAGAATCATATCATATACATTAGTCTTTAAAAGCAAAGCCCTGATTCAAGTTATAAAAATGTAATAATCTTTCACACTGCTCCCTCTTTGCAGGATAGCTTCTTCACAGTCTCATTGCCTTTGTGGTATGGACCGAGTTATTCATACTGATTTTAAATTGTTCCTTTTAACTTTTACCCTCCACCCACAGGTCCTTGGCTTCTCTTCTCATTGGTTATTGCACCCTGGGGCTGCAGAAGAGGTGGCTGCCTGCTTCTGCTTCTTACGGCGTTTATTCAGGAGGCGGTTGTTGGATGTTTTCAAGTCTTTGATTTTCACCTGATCATAGTCCACCCTCATGGTTGCCAAAGCACTGGTCATCTCCTCCTGAAACCAAGGAAGCAATTTATTGAAAAACCTGAGGCAGAGAGCGCACAGCCACCCCACACTACTACCAGGAGATGAACGTACAAAAAGGAACCCACTGTTACACTACAGCCAGAAATAGCTGAGCCCTTTCTGCTGCTATGACTAAAGGCTTCGTTCTACTCATGGACTCATTCAGGAGGAGCTATTCACACAGTGTTTCATATGTGAGCAAGCAGGACTGCACTCCGCTGGCCTAAATTCCACCATGTCTCTATGCCCAGCATTTCTTACTGGCTGGCTCTGGGCCTTCACCAGAGGCCTTCACCTTCCTGCTTTCCTTGCTCTGTTACCAAACTAGGTTAGCAGGAACTAGAATAAAGAGTCCACGCAAAGTTGTTTAAAAGCATGTGCTTCAAATTCACACACTTCCTTAGTCTGAATTAATGTTTAAGTGCAGGCAAATTTTAAACTTTTTAATAAGGTTGTGAACAAAAATCTGCTTAAGTAAATGAATGTCTAGGCATTTAGTTCAGCAAAGGAAAAATGATTAATTGTTATGGGAATGTCAGTGGCCCAAGGGAATACCTCTGGGACCTATACAAAGCACAAGTGTAAGGAGTTCTCAGAAACATGGAAATGAGGAAGGCTAAGTGAAAATATCTGTTTGATCTCTGACTTGGGAGGCAAGCGTTGCCTAGGTCCTATGAAATTTTACTACTACATAGCTCAACAGCTGAGACTATACATCAGTAATTTAAATAAAATCAGTAATCAGTAAATACACTACAGGAATGTTGCAATTATCAAAATGCCAAGCATTGTTAAGTGCAGAAAATTCAGAATTAATTGTAAAAGCATGCCAACCTCATACAGGCCAGCAGGAAAGAGTTAAGGCTTGCAACAACTTTTAGTCTGCCCTATAGTTTCACTTTGCAGGAAGCATTTAACTGTCATCAGTACAAACAGTAGGTGAGGCACCTGGTCAGATGAAGGGAAAGACAGATACATTCTTTTTCTGCCCCCCTGCCAAATGTCATAACAAGACAAGGCTAAGGTTATTTAATGTTGGTTTACAACACAAGAACAGAGTAGAAAAACAGAATGCAGCTCAACCCTCCCACCCTGTCCTACATTTTCATCGTATTCTTCACTATAATGAACTTCGCACTCCCTCAACACTGTCCCTTTTCCTCTGTGGTTACATACAGTGGCTCAGCAGATAGCATCATTAATACCTTTGATCATAAACATCATCTTTGTTGATATTTGGCACAGCTGTAAGGCTGTCAGATGAAGCTCACATAGCATTCTTTTTTTAAACAGTTATCATACTGTTCTAACCAAGACTGCTCATGCTTCCCGTGTTTAATATGGTTGTATACAGAATAGCCATAATCTCCAAGGAAATAAGCATATGCAGAGAAGCCAGCCCATCTAATCTCTTATCAGACCTCAAGAAATCTGAACTATGATTGACTTACTTTAACTTCATCCCAGTGGTCTTTATCCTCTTGCAGGACCCGTGCAGTATGAAGAGGAGTTGGTGGCACTGCCATTGATCTCTGAGAAAAGGGAAAAATACCGAAAGAAGTGTTCTGCAAAATCACATTTGGGAAGTGACTGCTTGCTCTTCTATGCGTATGGAGGGCATAAAACTTTATCTGCTGTCCTTTGGTGGCCCTCATTATTCATGCTTCCAGTCACTCCACAATCAAATTCATGTGTGAGGTAGAAAAGGACTATAGTCCCCACATGACAGCATCTTTAAAGAACAAAATGAGAGAGAAATCAGTGCTGAGTTTCTTTCACTTTGCTCCCTTCCAGTCCAACTGATAACCCTGTGTTGGATAAATTTTTATGTACATTTTAGATTTTAACTGTCATTTCACTATTCATTAGTCAATGTTTTAAAGTGGTTAACTGGACCTTTATCTTCTAGGATTTGTCATAGGAGAAATTTTCTTGTACATATACATTAGCTGAGATTACCAGTTCATCGGATTGTAAGTGTGCCCAAAAGAGGAAATTATACTGTTATTCAGAGTAAGGCACAGTTCAGAAGACCATGCATCACCTGAGATGCTCTTCCACATAAAACTGAGATCTATGCTCAGCTGCCATGAAAGATCAGTAGGTACTTTAAATTAGAATAAAGTACAATTTCTAAAGCACGAAGCACAGTTCCCTAGCTAAATTCAGCAAGAGTCATGGTATTTCTTGTCAGTCCATAACCCAAACTATGATTTCATTTGGATAGTCTATCTTCCTTATGCTTTCTACCCAAACTTGCTGTCTACTGCTGTGGCGTCCTACACCAGACACAGCTGCATGCCAACAAAGTCTAAGGAGATCCCTGTACATGTCATAAAATAAGCATTCCGTTGGAAGCAGTGCTTATACTCCACCAAGCTAACAGCAGCACTGCAGTACTTAGGGAAGTGGAAGCATAAATCACGACTCCTGCATCCTCTGGAAAAGGATCCTAGCTGGCCAAGGTATAGTTTTATCAAGTACAGCTGGGACGAGAGAAATGGAAAACCAGCAGACTAGCTCTAGTGGTGTCCCTGGGCAGGTGTTGAAGGTGCATGCCCTCCTATCTGCTGTGAGCTGCTACTTGTTAAAAAAAAATAATCTTATCTACAAGCTAACTAGAGGATTACGTGCTCCACCTAAACTGACAATTTTTGCATAGTCCACAATAATACTTCTGCTACCCATCTAATAAAAAAAAAAAAAAAAAAAAAAAAAAAAAAAAAAGGGGAGAGACAAGCACCCTCCTCTGCCGCTTGTGCAAGGTATCTCCCCATGCATGTTCCCACTCAGGGATTTAGGAGAAGGAAGAACACAGACATTCACTATGTTGGTCTTTCCGTCTCCCTCCCTCTGCCTCATGGGAACAATAGGTTCAGCAGAAGAAAATGCCAACCTGCAGCTCTTAGAGCATTATTCCAGGAACGGTATTCTAGCATGGCTCTTTGGTGCAGCAGAGTCTATAGACCTTGTCTCTAATCTCCTCCTTATTAATTGGTTATATGCATATTTCAAGTAACATGTGTCGCTGTAGGTGGTAGCTTCCTTAGCTATTAGGCACTCATTCTGTGAAATTCATCGCCTGCTGACTTCTGAAACACCTCCTTCTTGGGTCTTCAAACACTTAAAGCTGGAGGTATTTATTCTGAACAGTGATTACATTTTTATTTGCTTAAAAAAGACTTAGAAACATTGTCTAGATTCTGTTCTAGTTCTACAGAGTCTTTGCAACCATAATTTCTCAGCTTTCACAACTCCAAATGAAGACATCTATCTACTTCATCAGGATGTTATATAGCTACATTTCTATATGATTCTAAGGGCTTTCAGATCTTTGAACAGGCATTATAGAAACGGTGACTATTCATCATGCCTCTGTTTTCTGCTCCTTCCTCTGAGGATCAGCATAGACAGAGAAAGCACTATGGGAGAAAAGGGTGTTCTACAGTGCAAGTGATTCTGTTCCTGGCTGATGATGTTTTGGGCAGCGAGAACAAGACTGGTGTCCTTTTAGGCACAAATATGAGAAGTATAATCTATTCTTTTGAGTAACCTACAGAGCAGAGATGATATCCTGAAACTCAGCCTGGTAACTCCTGGGATTCTTGTCTCTTGTTCGAAATAATTAATACTGTATTATTATTTTTTTCTTTTTTCCCCAAAGTATTTTTTAAGGAAAAGTAAATTCAACCAAGTCATAGAATGAAACCTGAACTGGGAACATTAATAGCATTGTGTGCCACCCTATCTGGCAATCTCTTACAGGGCACTAAGCCGAGACCCTTGCTCCTCCCCCACGTATTTCCAAACTCTGCCAAGGATGAGAATTCCCACTAAGCATAGGACTGTGTTCACACTAACACAGCTATGCACAATGGTGCCTGAGACCACTAATAATAGCTCTCTTTAAATCCTGCACTGATGAAGTAAGTACATACAGTTTATTTTTATATTTTTAAAGAGAGTAACACATGCATATGCTGCAGAGTCAACAGTGACTGCCTGCTCACAGAAGATATAGATACATTCAGCTCTTGCTTCCAAGGAAGCTATTGTGGGTGTCTCTCTTTGTGTGTCCTCTGGTAACACCAAGAAGAATTGTGGTTCTACAGGCAGGTGACCCTCTGTGGAGGGCACAGTAGGTTAATTAAGTTATTAACAGTAATCATCATCCTTCTCTTGCTGTGCTATGTGGAGCTACATGTAAGTTCTGCATGTAAGAATTCATCTTGTAAAAAGAGATATGAAACTCACATTAATCCAAGGGTGATTCATAAATTGAGAAACTGTCATCCTCTCTGTTGGGTCAGTCTTCAGTAAATGGCGAATCAGTTGTTTGGCTGAAAAACAGGACCAACGTGGCATATTGTAGTCTACTACTTTGTTAACAAATAACCTTGAGAACACAAAGACCTGCTGAATGAAGAAAGATAACTGTGCAGAACTCAAACCACCTACCTATTGCTGTTACCATGTTAAGAAGCCATATACAGTGTGGCAGGTTACTATGTTCAAAGAGGCAGAACGTGAAAACATCCAACACAAGGTAAGAAGGAAAGACAGAGGATTGGGGATTCCAGCTATGCTATCTACATCACCAAACCAACTGTTTTGAGAGCAAGCAATTAAGAAAAAGAGAAACATAGCAACAGAAAGCTGCCAAGCTGCCTGTCTGAAAGATGGCAACAAGCTTGGCATTATGGGCTGAATGAATGCAGAAGCTGATGTTTTGAGAAATGATGGAAGACAAAAACTAACTAGCACAGGCTGTGGGGAAAAAAAAAAGGACAATAAACTTTCCTTTGACAACTGAGAGGCCACTAAAAGGACAACAAAGTCAAAGAAATGGATGGCACAAACAGACTTTGCAGCAGCTTTCTGTGAACATGGTATCTGCCAAAGCAAGAGTACTAAGTAACTGAGATATGGGATGATGAGAGTCTAGACAAGTTTCATTAATGCAGGCAGACAGACCAGAAACACTGCATCCAGGGATGTTATTTAGAAAGACTTACACATAACTTCCTGGGGGGAGCCTAGAAAAACTTCTGAGTAAGAGTTCTCTTTTAGAAACATCAAATGCAAGATGACTAAATGCTTGTAAGAAGCTGCCAGAGGTACAAGTTGTAGTTTGTCGAGAGAGGCTGCAAAGGAGTTTTACAGTAGAGATTACCTGGTGTCTAAAATGTAGAAGGAAACAAAAGGAGGGGACCACAAACAGAGCCTGTTAAGATGATTACAGGAAGCTGGAGGGAAATTTAGAGGAATCCTCCATAGATGATGCAACGACAGAATGATTAGATAAAGAAAACCATGACAAGAACAGTAAAAAGGAAGGCTAAAAGAAGCAGTCTGCTGAAGGTGCCTGATCAGCCTAAAAGAATACACATAAACTAGCTGATCTTAGTAGGTTCAAAGGTAGAGGGCACCTATCTTCATCCAGGCAAGCATACAGAAACCCTACAAATTTTTGAAGTGCATGTTCTCTCACCAAGCTCTCCGAGCATTTTAATAACTGCTGTAATATGAACAAGACCCAGGGCAGACAAAATATTAAGCCAGAAACCCATAAGTAAAACATCTTCCTTATTAATGTTCAGTAATCTATGCTGCACACGCAGCCATGAGATCCAATGAGGGGCTGAAATACCACAGATCACAGTATTATCCAACGATAATTTGTTATTGCTAAACAGCAGACAATAACAGGATGCTAGCAACAGCAATATAAAGGGCTTGTTAGAAAAAAAGATGTGCCCAGAGGTTGCTGACCTTTTTCTCTGATGGGTAGGTGAGACTTCCAGCTTATGAGACTGCCAGAATAAGAGGGAATCAAAACTGTCCACTTTCAGGACACTGGTTTGAGCCCATCCAGGTCACAGCTGAACAGCAGCAGCTTTTGGTCAATGACTTACACCAACTAAATTGTTGACCTTGATTTAAGTGGTGGCTGGCAAGTTCCCACATCACAAAAAGCTAGCATGAAAACTTGCCATCCTTACTGGCTGTATCACTAAGGAGGGCAAAGACTGAATAAGTTCTTAAGACAGTTTGCCTTTCTTCCAACTCAGCTTGCATTACGGCTGTCCTGGCAGTTTCCTTTCTCAGGATGAAAGACTGTTGTTTCCAGAGGCTTTAATCTCGGCATTCACTAGCACTAGCTGGATTTTGAAAGAAAGTTTTTAGTAGTCATTTACTTTCTGTAGTACTTCAGTTGCTGCCTAGTATCTAAGTTCCTAGTTGTTCTCTCTATCACCTTACAAAAAATTAACTTAAATTCTAAAAGAAAGGGAAACAAAAACTAAGACAGATCTTTAGAAATAGCCTCTTGTAAGCACTCTACCACTGCACAACACCGTGCACATACCCATCAGTAGCAGTGAGCATTGTTACCTTCCTCTGATACTTCAGCCCACTCTGGATTGGGAAACCCGTATTGCCCCATCCGAATTCTTCTCTTCATCCCTGGAGAAATGGCTTGACCAGTGTTTGAGTAGAATGGAGGGAACCCACACAGGCTGTAAGAGTGGACAGAAGAACTCTCAGAACTAGGAAAGTCCTTTCATCTCTTAAAAAGTGCCATACAAGCTTGTCTTCTGCAGGTTGCATGATCCTAGTGGCTAATTACTTGTAAGCGCAGATTTAACAAGATGTGTCCTTCTTCTGTTCATCAAGCCTCTTTCCAAATACTTACAGAATATATGTGATGACACCCAACGACCACATGTCACATGATTTGTCATACTTCTCAGGGCCAAGGACTTCTGGGGCTGAAGAAGATTAAAACCAAAAATTAACAGAGTACCAGATATTTCCTTTCAACTCCATCACCTTAAAAGTAGCAGCACACTTCAACAAATATCGGAGGCATTAAAAAAATGCAACTCACTGCAGGAACTGGGTAGTATTTTTTATTGACAAGTTCCTAAACACATATAATGTAGCTTTAAAAAGGAGGAACAGAGCTGGCAAAATGCCCCACTCTTCACCTTAGTGTCTCTCTGCTCAAGAGAGCACTAAGATTACAGAAAAGCAGAAAAAGCAGCTAAATGTGTACAGAGAGACACCGCGCTGAAAGAGGCAGGAGCATATGTTCCAGAAATCAGAACAGAAAGGACCTACTTGAGCTGTGATAAAATTTTGAACGATACCTAGGTGGAGTGTGTTTAGCTCCAGCAACTACAGAGCACTGTATTTTTCTTCAGCCTCCAGAGCATTGTATTTTTTCACTAAGTAACAAAATTAGAGAGATACATTTAGAGGGGATTTTTCTTTTTTTTCCCTGAAGCAGGTGAACTGACAGAGAGCTTGATTTTGTAAGGAAAATGATTCTCTAAACATATGAGCAATCATGCTGGTTTATAAAAAGGTGTTGAGAAGGAAAACATCAGCTTGTTTGTATACAAATATAAAGGCATAAAAACACATATGCGTAAATTCCTTACTATTTTATCACTAATCCCAGCTAAAAATATAGAAGAAGCATCAGCAAAAAATGCTGGTATCGTAATTATCTGCTAACAATTAATAACAATATCTTTCAATACAAAAAACTTACATCATAGAAGAGAACTAATTCTTCCAAAAAATTAAGCCCTTTTTCCTCCAAAGACATTTTAAGCCTGGACTGTCTCAGTCATACCATATGGTGAATGACTATTAATTCAAAGACCAAAAGGGACGTACTCTAAAACGAGTGCATAAAGGACAGTCTACTGTGGCATTCATTACACAGTGCTCTGTCTTTGGACAAAATGCAGGCAAAAATTCAGCTGCGATTAAGTCGCATTGGTCTTTTATTACTAATTCCTCCATTTGCGAGCTTTAAGAAGCTTTACAGCTGAGGCAATACTCTCCCTGTTCTTTTTTATTGCATTAGTTGCATTAGTTAAGCTAAGGGAAGTTTCGCAAGGAAACACCCAAATAATCACGAAGCTGAGTTCAAATTATGGCTTTTATTGCATCATTCAGAGGAAACATCAGGATTACTTCAAGTGTAATCAGAAGCAACATATTCTATCTCCTTGATCCTTATTTGCATCCCCTGTTAAGGCTGTTTCCTCTGCAATCAAGGAAGAAAGCAGGAGCACTGAACTGTACTGGAACCAGACTAGGTTCGGATTGGATCCCAGTTTAAATTCTGCAGGCTTCCTCTTTGCGTTACATCCACAATAGAGGATTTCCCATCTCTTCCTACAGTCCACAGGCCCAGTATAAGGGGAAGGATGACAGACTGAAACACAGAAGAAATGCATCTTGGATAACTTACCCACATAATAAGGAGTGTAACAGGGGGTCTGCAGCGCATTTTGTACACTGGTTTCTTTGGCAAAGCCGAAGTCTGTGAGTTTGAGTACAGTATCCTTCTCTTTAGATGTGTAAAGCAAGTTTTCAGGCTGAAAGGCCACCAAGAGAAAGGATAAACTGGACAATGAAGAGATGTCTCTAGTGAGCTGAAAGGTCAAACCATTCCTGTGTGCCTGGATCACCACCAGCATCTGGGTCTTATTACTTCTCTCACATCCCCACTATACCATGCAGAAAGTTCCCTCCCAACATTTTTGCTCAGACTAAGGATCAACATCCTTCTCAACATGGTATTTAGGACAGCAAATCACAAGACTCTCATCAGGTCCCACGGGCATCAAGTCTGGCTTCTTGAACCTCTCTCTAGTTCACTGCACTTACTAGGATCGTTCTGTCTGATCAACACCAGTTGATCTGACAGCACTCTCTACCACACTCAAGTAGCTGAGATAGAAGACAAGAGAAGTCATCAGGCAAACTCTCTATGAGCAACTGATATAACCCTGTCAGAATTAACTGACACAGACACAGTCCTCTTCCAGCTCCCCCCCTCCTCTGTCTCCTGAAACCTGAGTTAATTCCAGTCTTGCTCCACACTCTGTAAAGGCTCTCCAAAACCAGAAATGGCACAGAGGGAAGTACAAGCTCTTGTGCACAGGAACAGGGACAATGGCACAGCTGCAGAATCTGCAGTTGTTTGAAATTGTTTTCCAGTTTCTCAGTCATAAGGAAGCTATGCCCTCTTTCACACTAGTGTTTAGGGACATACAGAAGGAGGAAGGGTTTGAAAGAAAACAGGATTTAGGATCTATTAAACAATTTGAACCATTTCTATGTTAGTTCACTAAGTGTGTGTTGGGGGTCTTTGGGGCTAAGCGCTTCCGTTTCTGTGCTGGTGATAGGCAATGGCACATAGCTCCACAAAAGTGAATACATTTTCAGTCTCTTAACTGTTAAGTTATTCTCTGATTCCCACCTAAAGAACCCTCAAACATACCCCTCAGTGACACCAAGCAATGGCAGTTCTCCCTCCAGCTAAACATGCAGAAGCATCTGTAGAAAATTCACAAACTCAGAACTGCAGAATCAATCAGATGCCTCAGTCTATCATTATGTGACCTGCTCTCCAGCACATTCCATCACACTGCCGTATCGCTACGCTAGAAATGCCTTGTTGCAGCTATCTTGTCTTTGCTTATGCTGTGCACTTTACAGAATGAAAACAAAATACAATACTACAAACCCTGTCAAATCTCTATGACAAGATCTGTGTACAAACTTTAGCTAGTAAAACACACTGTTGCACATGGTAGTAACTGAGATCTTCCCATTTTCTGCAGTAATTATATATACTATTGAACTGAGTTGGATGCATGGAATTGGTATTATTCCTCCCATATATGCAGTTTCTCCTGTTTCTGAAGGGGGGTTTGGTGTTTGTTTTGGGGTTTTTTTGTTGTGTTTTTTTTTTTTAGGGAAGTACGATTCTGAAAACTAATAACTGGCAAAGACTACATAGAGATATAGCATCTAGTATAAGTTCACTTCAGGCAGTGTTATTTTCTTGTTAATTAACTGGATTGCAAGCTGGTAGTACCTCTTTAATTAACCATCTGACTATCACCAGATTCTTCTGCATTCCATATACAACTGGAAGGCATTAGCATACATGAATATTCTGACCTTTGAGTGGTTGCAAACTAGTTGTGAACAGATCCCTTCTCACACTGGCAGAGGAATAGGAACACTCTGACCACCTGATTGTACTCCTAGTTCTATTTAAACCACCACTGCCCATTTATTTTTCTGCCTTATGCTCTTTTCTCCATGCCCGCACACCTTCAGGCCTCACCTTGACATCTCTATGGGCAATGTTCATTGAATGCAGATACTGGATGGCTGTTCCGATGTCTCTCATTATTTCAGAGGCCTCTATAAATACAATTTTAGAGAAAGGTCACATTAACATTCCCACTGTAACTCAGGGACATGCCTGGGAATGCTTATGACTTACAAACAGCTTGCTAGAATACAGGGCTAGCGTCAAGACTAGAAAACCTAAAATTAGCCCTAACAGCTGTGTTTTGGTTTTGCAGGCAACCATACCCCCCAGCTCCTTGGCTGCTCAGCCCTCCTCCTGAGCAGACACTGCAACTGAGCGGTTGAGACCCCTGCTTTTTATGAGCTTGTAAATTTGTGCTTTAATTTGCTCACCAGAAAAGCAGCAAGAGCAGAGCAGGTACGCAAGCAACATGCAAGACTCTGGAGAAAGAAGCCCCAACCAGGACATATCCCTGGTTGTCCAGGACATGTCCTTGGTTGTCAGAGACAGAAGTTTAACTTTCAGCTTCTAGTTCAGGGGTAATAGGAGGATCTAACAGATTTTCTAAAAATAGAGCAACATAACAATATGATAATTTTAGGATAGGTCACATCTTCATTCCTCACTGTCTTTAGAAGTTCTTCCTCAGGAGAAACAAAATCAACAGTTCTATTCTGCAATGCCCAAACTGCCACCTTTGAAATAATATGTTTCTAAAATTTAACATAACTCCAGTGGGAAATTCTAGTGGTTGGTGAGCTGCCTTGCAACAGCAGTACTCTTGAAGATTGGAAGAGTTACAGAGGGAGAGGTTTCAGAACAGGGAGGAGTGACATTCCCATTGTACTAAGTGAACATTATATTACATCTCCACTGACAGGGAAACAGAATTAGCAACTTCAACCTGATCCTCTGTTTTCTGCACAGGTAGAAACCTCAGCTGCAGTAGTAAGAGAGAAGGTAGAAATTCTTGTACTGCAACCTGGAATCCTTTTTCACATGGCTTGAGATTGTGTAATTTCAATCTCAGGCAAGGAAAATCAGAAGGTAGAAACATACATCTTCGGGGAAAACCTTGCACAACCTCCTTCTTCCTGGCCCAGGCCAAAGACCCTGGCTCCTAATGGGAAGTTGTGGCTGATACATAAACAGCCAGTGAACCTTGGGAATTCAGTGGAACAGGGCTCATTTATCTCAGGAAAGAATGAGCGTGGGGTTTTTTGTTTAACACTCCCAGATGATTTCTGAGTAAGTATTTAGAATGTTATACAATGGTATTTAATGTAGAAAAATCACGTTTTTAGCAGAGTGAAGTCACTAATGATCATGGAACCAGTTCTCCCCCTGGCATCTTATATTTTAGAGAGGAACAAATAAAGTTCCTGAAGACGCTCATTTTCCCTACATGAGTCTCTCATACCACTTAAAGGATTCATCCCAGGCTAGGAAATGCAGGAACACAGGACCAAAAAAAGCCTGGCCTCTATACCAGACTTGCAAAACAGTCACAGTAATTTACAAGCTCAGGTGTAAATTTTTCTTCCGATCATTTTGTCACATTGCTAGTTACAAAGACTAACATTTTTACTCCTGAGCAGGAACAAACTCTTGTCTGTTGTGAATGGGCAATGAGAACTGCAGTCAAGCACACCTGTGGTACTCTACAAGTAATAAATAGCAAAGACAATAAAAATGGCAAGACTATTCTATTGCAAGCTCTGTCACTGACTCATAGCAGGTCTTTAAACTTGCATATAGTCCCTATTACAGATGAGCAGGCTTGTTTACAGTGTGGCTAATAACACTTCCTTTCAAGTAGTACTTTAAAACCCTTGAATAAGAGATGTTTCATCAAATGTGATTTGCTTGTTATATTCATCACCTAACAGTATAGTTGCGCACAGTGATGCTGCTTGAGGGGCAGCCAGAAGAGAAATCACAGAAGGAGCTGAGTTGATCATGTTAGAGGTGGTCTGGCAGGAGACCAAGGACCAGAATAACAGAGGCTGCGGTGGTTCAGAAATGAAGAAGCTGAGCTGATTTGTATGAAGAATTTTCCTCTAAACCTTCTACATTGTGCCTGAACTCAGCCAATTCTGGTAATTCCTGACTTTTGGAAACTTTTAAAAATAACTGTTTAATACAGAGTTGGATTGAAAATTAAAAAAAAAAAAATTACAGACAAAAATCAAATCAAAGAAAAAATCCTGTAAGGGAACTAAGCAAGGAGACAGAGAAAGGGAGAAGCGTTCTTTCACAAACTTTAAAACTAAACTTGTGATTTTTCACCTCTTTCAGTGAAAGCTTGATCTCCTCTCTCCTGGATCCTGCTAAACAGCTCTCCTCCCTCCATGCTGAAACAAAGAACACAACCCCCCCCCCCCGTTACATAAGCAGAAAAGATCAAATTAACACCTGATCGTACATCCATATAATCGCACAGAACCATGGCAGGAACAGATCAGAAGAGACTACAGGCAGTCTCCTATGCCAATGCTTCCTAAACATCACACTCATTTGAACCAATGCACAAAGCCATTCTGATATGGAATAAATAGAAAACAAAACAAGACCAAGGAGTTTTGATGCTTTCAGTTTAAAGTACCCTGTCACAAGGAACATGACACACATAGTTGGGAAGTCAGGTACGCTGGCACTGGGCGGCTGACAGTAATCTTGTTTTATGTAGGGGTTGGAGATGAAGGAAAAAGAAAGAGGGAAGCAAAGATACTAAAAAGGATTATTAATTTGTTGCCAGTGAAGATGACAATAACTGTGGTATTAGAGATCAAAGAGACAATAGGAAAAGTTAGAGTCAAAATAGTAGCAAAAAGGATCATGTCACATCATTGGATTTACATCTGAAGTTGGAAGCCAATCACAATCAAAGTGCATCATATTTGTAGAGACATATCTGTCAAGATTGTTTTAATTAGTCAATGTTTTAATGAGGACAATTGTCATGGAGTACAAGGAAAATTTATTTTCTGATTAAGGTTCCTCATTCTTCCATCATTCAAGATGGCTAGAGCAGCTATACATTTCCCTAGCAGTTCCATAAAGACAACAAAAGGTTTGCTGTGCAAACCAAAATCATGCTGCTGAGAAAGCTCACCTAACTCTAATCTAAGACAGCACATTCTCCCATTCCCTCCACCCCCTCAAAGAGCAATGCTTCATGGGAAGCTGCTGCTGGTCCATACCATTCCATGACAATGAGGAGGCATCTCTTTCCATGGTGTATATTCTCATAAACATCCAGGACATGGACAATGTGGGGACACCCTGATGCTCGCCAATGATACTCTACTTCCTGACGGGCTTTTGGGTTGTCATACAGGAGCTGTAAAGAAACAGGAGAAAGCAATGTCAGTGAGCCAGCATCATTCTGCTTTAAATTGGCACCTGCATGCATTTCAGCTCAGAGATGATGGCAAAGGCTACTCTTAGCACTTTCTCCAGCCAAAGGATGACAATCCATCACAAGACTTTCACCATCTCTGGTCTGTCCAGCTTCCTAAATTGAGGAATACAGAAAGAACAGGTCCCTTGGAACTGGAAGGACCTCGAGTGGCAGTGAGGAGAGATTTTGAATCTGAGATGGAGACAGACCTATCTCACCCACCTCTGAATGGGAAACAGCATTTTTTTTCCTACTTGTTTGCAGTACTTGCAAACAGAGGAGAATCCTGCTAAGGACAATAACCCTCCCACCTGACGCCCAGCTGCTGGGAGAAGAGACTTCTAGGTGCAGTGCAAATCCTTAAAGTTCAGTGAGATTTAAAACAATGAGGATTTTCACACTGACTCTGAATGTGCTTCTTAAATACTACACAATTTCTGACCCCTTCAGGGTCAGAAAGGGGCCTTAGACTATCTAGGTACTTGAACTTCTTTCTCTGCCTCATGCAAGGCCACCTTATTTTAAAGGCGCTAATCTCTAGAAGGGAGGCAAGAGCTCATCTTCCCTGATCCTGCAACCTCATACACAAGAAAAGTGTCCCTTCCCATCTGAAGGACTGCTCTGTATCAGACTTTGCAACTGAGCTTTCGTGCAACGGGGACACATTGCTGAATCATGCCTTTTCTTCTCTGCCTCATCTCTCTTGACACCACTAACACTTTGTGACAGAGACTCTCTCTTTACTGCACATTTATACGGTTTCTACACAATATGGTTGTGATCTGAGTTTGATACTTTATGCTCTATAGTAATAATCATCGTAATGATGGGGCAGCAACAAAACTGATGCTATATAAAGCATTGTTAAATGCATTGAAACAGAATAAAAAACAAGCAAAGAACAATCACCTCTCATCTATTCGCCTTAGGAAAGGACTACAACAACTGTGGGGGAACTGTTTTCAAACAGGCAAACAAAAAGTATCGTTGTTGCGCTATTAGGCCTTAGCCTGAAGCTCTTCTCACTCATGTTTGCCATCAGGTCCCAGTCAAAACACAACTGCATGATAATTGCTGAAAACAAGTATTAACATGCAACCTGTCATTAGGGACCTATGATTCAGTCCAGGAAAATGAGATTGCTTTTCCATCCAGTCGCCAAGCTAAGGCACAAATGGTGTCACACGCACCTCTCAATATCAGGAAACACATGATTTAAAGGTCACAGGAAGGAAGTCGCAAATTCTGGTTTCTTTATTGACTCCAACACAGACAATTTGCATCACTGGAAAAAAAAAAGCTTACACTTCTTTGCTGTTTCAATGTCCCTTTCAGCAAAGCAGACACAGTAACCTGGCAGGAAAGACCTGTAACATTTTATGAAATGCTGAGGAAGCTCTCGGGAACCACTAGACAGAAGGTAAGAGGCTTCTCTTCTTTTCCAGGCTGGGAACAGGAAAAGGGTGACAAGTGCTCCTCTGCTGAGTGCATATTTTTGTATTTTTGTGAAGCTCAGAGAGGTTGCAGGAGGGGACAAGTGGTCTTGGGAGGGCTGCTGGCTCCTTAGCAGAATGGGCAGGGAGCCTCACCACCGTGACCACCCTGCAGGCTCCCTCAGCTCCGCTCCAAAGGCTCCAGCATGACACCAGACTTTCAGCAGTGTAAGGAGCTGAAGAAGCTTTCTTGCCAAGTTCAATGCCCTCACAGCCAACCTACTTCTTCCACCGCTGTCGTTCTGCACCCAGAGCACACCCTTTTCAGATCACTAACTATCCGCCTCTTCCTTCCTGCTCCAGCCTGGCTATGGCCTGATTTCCAACACAAATAACTTCCTAAAGAAAGAGATGGCTCCAATTCGGACAAAAAGCCCATTAGCGAGTCCAAGTGCAGTTGCTTTACTTCTTTCAGCCATGAGCCCATTCAGCAGCTTTTCCTTCACAGCCACTATGTTCTAGCTCAGTAGAACTGTCTATCAGCATTTTCCCCTCTGCCCTTCTGAATTTGGGCTGTTGCCTAGAGGTCTCTTTAAAAGTTCATTAAATTATGTGTGCAACAATAAAGCCCAAACACCCTCAGGACTAACCAGGCCATTTAGAAAAGCATTACAGCATTTACTGCTTGGATATTACTGGATTAATGCCACTTCTGAGCAGGATGCTTTAAAAACCCTCCCACCTATCCTGTGCTACTAATTAGACATAACCATTCTCTTTACTAATGTTAACTGCACTATAATCTGTGTATCTTGTGCTTGCACAGTGTGCAGAGATGTTGTTTTTCATGTTTGTACCAAGTGCTTATGAAAATTGTTTCACAGAATTGAATTCTCACTCTCTAAAGAGCTTTTACAAGGCATTTTGATACACACAAGGATGCTACAGTTTCTTTTCTCCACCCCTACAAGCAAGTTTCATATAGTCCTTGGTGCCACACTTAAATGTACTCATGTCAAGATGACACCTGGAGAAGCAGAGAAAAGGAAATGCAAAAATAAAGAGCAGATACACATACCAAGCAACATCTGATATATCAACCAACTGTTAACCCTTGGATTTCTCCTTCTGAGCCTTAAAAATAAATTAAATCTTTTCCTTATGTCTAAAACCAGAAGCCATAACTATACCTTTTAAGACATCTTACAGATGCAGACACGTGTAAAATGAAAGCCAGGCAGGGTTGAAAGCACCAATTTCTACAAAATTCAGGTAACGATTTAGAAACACAGACTAAAATTCTAACCCTATGGTTAAATTTAACAAACTTGCAAAAAACATAAATGGACATTCTGCCATCTTCCTAAGCCTGAAGAGAGACTGTCCTTCTATTGCTGCAATAGCTTTGATAAGACTATGACCAGGCTCCCCTGACATTCTCCAAAAGCACGGAGGTAGCTGTGAACAAACACAGAGTTTCAGATAAGTTTTCCAGCACTTCTGGTTCACACTGGTTTGAGGAAAGAGCAGCTTTGTCAAACAGTATCAGCTCAAGGAGCCCCCAGTCAGCCCCTAGAATTCCCACACAGTTCAGCTGAGTCACAGCTTGTCATGATGGGCTGTGGGCAGGATGATGAACCAGCCTAACTTCAAAATAGAGACAAACCCAAGAAACATGCCCCATCTCCCAATTTTTCATTAAGTCAGATCAGTGATCCAACGCACAATGCACAGTAGCCTGTGTGGTCAGGCAACACAGTTTGGAACAGGAGCTGCATAGTAGAAAACTGTATTTTTTGCTGGAACTCAGCATTGCCGAACCACTGCCTAAAAGAAGCAGACGAAGAAAGTATTAAGTTATTCACAGGGAGATCAGCAAAAACAGAGGCGATGGAAGGCAAGAAGGTACAAGAGCTCTAGAGCCCTAACCCCTAGGGATTCACACAACTCTTCTTGGTATCTGAAAAAGCTGGACAGGGAAGAGAACTGTGCCTGTTTCTGAGGAACAATGGGGCAGATGCCAGCAGACACTCCAGGATGCCCTGCTAATTCAGGGCCTGGGCAGCGGAGGGAGGCCTGAACTCTTTCAGTTCTGGGGTAATGGCCTAATTCAGGTTATCGAGCCTGCAAAACAAATTCTAAACTGCAGCTTGGAAGGCCAGCTCTGTGAAATTTCTCCCTATGGAGAATTTCTTGATAGAAAAAAAAAAAAGGAGACTAAAAAGTGACACAATATCTTCCAATTGCTTTTCCATCGATTCAGTGTTGTGTAAGCAAGGAAGGATAGCAAGAACCCTCATACCTTAATGGTCTGATCTATACAGGAAATAGCCTTCTAAGGACTCCAGGGAGCGGCAAGCGATTTTCTGGACTCTGAAATTGTAACAACAGAGAGAGAGAAGATATCCATGGGCACAGGTATGAAACAGGCTGAGAACAGGAAGCAATGACTTCTCTGTGACTTTCTTTTTACTAGGCACTAGCAGATTACACAGATTACTATTACACCTGCTACCTGTTCCCTACACAGGGGATTAAGACTCCCACATATGCTTTTTTTTTTTAATTTACTTTAAACTTCAGCAATTCTTCCTAGTTCCAAGCAGTTGCGGTGCTTGAATTAGAACTGTTACAGGCTCAGTTCTCATCTACTGCACATGCCACGTTAAAGCAGCATCTGACACTGCAAGCATCTTTTACTTACTTGCGCCAATTCCAGAATCTGAACTCTCCTTCAACAATCAGTTTTATAATCTCTACACTATTTTCCTCACAGGAAGGCTTCCCATTATTAAAACAAAAATGGGACCAGCAGAAACTTTCAGTCCTAGGGGCCCTCAACATGTAATACTGATATACAGGCACTTAAACACAGCTTGCTTTATTTTTCTAGCTGGGAAAAAGTCTCTGCTCAGGCATAAGTGGGTAAATGTCTAACTTCTTTTGCTTTCTTTTCTTTTTGCATGTAGCTGTTACAAAAATGCTGAATCCTACAAGTAAGTCTTGGAATCTAAATTCACGCTGATGCACAGAAACTAACACCATTTGCTGCAGAGCAGCTCTTCTAGTCGTTCTTTATTCAAGAGGGTTTGATAGCAAAAGGAGGCTTGGATAATGTTTCTTTCATCTCCTCCCTCCCCTATGCTACAAAAAGAAGGGGCGGGGGGGGAGACAAAAAGAGCTATCACTATGGCTTTGGACATTTTGTCTTTTATTACATCCTGATTATTTGCACTACATCTATTAATTCAATGTTAACAATCTTTATCTGTTTCCAGATCTCTTCATAAGGGATAAAGCCATCCTTTGTGTTAGAATGCTAAAGGAATTGAAATTATCAAGGTTTTCTTCTTCACGCATCAGCACTGCCAGTCAGTCAAGCTGCAGCAAGAAGCATGTGTCTTTTTGCAACAGCAGCCCAGCAAGCAGGGAAATCCACACATGCAAATCTCGAAGAAAGCACTGCATTTTTTCTTAAAATAAAAAAATAGAACACAATTCTGCTGG